GGGGGGGAAGAAACCCCTCCAATGATATCACTCTTGATTTAAAAGAGCTCGTGATGTTTTAGGCATAAAAGCTGGGTTTGGTCTTAAATCAGCTGAGCTGCCCGTCAGCCTAAATTCTAAGGCATGACGAAGCAACAGAGAGGGCAGATAAATTACTTACCCTCTTAGCAGGTGTTAAAGCCAGCAGCAGGGCTGTTTTAAGAGACAAGAATTTAAGTGAAAACCTGATCCAGAGGCTCAATTGGAGCTTTGATCAGGGCTCGCAGGACCAGCGTTAAATCCCACTGTGGAGCAAGTGGGCATGAAGCAGGCCTGCGTCTTTGAACACCTTTTAGAAAAACGCTTCATCAGCGGGTGATTAAAAGCTGTTCTGTCTCCGAACCCTTCGTGGCAGGAAGAGATGACTGCAACGTACGTTAAAACGTACTGAATGCCAACTTCCTATCCATCAGCTGTTGTAGAAAGACAACACGCCGCCTAATGGACATGAGGTGGCCTCTAAACCTTTCTCTGTACACCAGCGCTGAAAAGCCGTCTCCTTTGATGTGTACAGAGCTGTGGCAGATGCAGCACGTGAATCTTGAATTGTGCACACTATCTCCTGAGGGAGACCCATCCTCTCTAAGTGGGACCGCCCAGTGGTCAGACCCACAGGTGCTGACCTATTTCTGGGTAACTCTTGATCGCTCCTCCTGCTTGAAGGAGAGCATCCTCCCTCCATGGCAGTTTCCACGGTCGACCCGACAACAGACGTTGCAGGACTGGGAACCATGGTGCGTTCACGCGCTCGGGAGCCACCAGGAGAGCTGTCAATCCCTCCTCCTGAACTCGGTTCAGGAACCGTAAAAACATAGGAGGTGGGAGAAAACGCGTACAAAAGCGTTTTGGGCCACGGGCTGTGAGCAAATGCATCCACCCCCAGCGATGGATCGTCTCGCGGGCTCAGGGAAAACCATAGTTGACACTGAGAGTTCTCTCGCGTCGCAAACAGGTCCACAGCTGCTTTGCCAACTTCTGCCACGACTGAAAACATCAGATCTGGATGGAGGGTCCAGTCCGCGTGACGTGGGCCGCCCCTGGACATCACATCTGCCCCTCTGTTCAGAAACCAGATATGTAAACCGCTCTAATGGAGAGCAGGTTTGATGAGCCCAACACAGTAGCTTTCGCGCAATGTGTAACATCTGGGCTGAACGTACACCCCTTGGTGGTTATGTACGCAGCAGTCACCATGTTGTCTGTGTGAATCGACACGTGTTGATTCTGTAGCACGGGAGCAAAGTGTTGAATCATATTCAGTACTGTGCGACACTCCAAAACATTGATGTGGGCTGATGTGTGGTGGGGCCACAGCGCCCCTACTGCTTGAGATAGGCATGTCCCCCCCCCAGCCTGACAGCGACGCATCCGTGAAGACTGACACGTGTGACGTGGGACTGCTGACGGGAACTCCCTCTGACAGAACCAGGGTGTTTCCCCAGAGTCGGAGGTCTGCTCTCACAGAGGAAGGGACAATGATCATCCGTCGTTTTGTTTTACTGGATCCACATGCAGACGTGCAAACCACCTCTGGAGGCGTCTCATGTGTAACAAACCAGCGGAACCACTGTGTGAGTTGATGACATCATTCCCAACAGCTTCATGACGGAGACAGCTGTTATCACTTGCCAGGTCTTACGTGGCGGAGTTGGCTTTTTAAAAGTGTCGAATCTCGTTTGTGATAAACGAGCTTTCATGGTGGTTGAATTTAATTCCACTCCCAGATAAACAAATGTCTGGGTCGGGAAAATCGAGCTTCCTTCCAATTTATGGCGAAGCCCAGATTTAACAGGTGTGATGTCAACATCTGATCCTGCATCAGCGCCTCCTGTCTGGAGTGACAGGAGCAGCAGATCATCCAGGTAAAACAAAAACTCTCGTCTCTGTGTTTTAGGATGATCGGTATGCGTTTTCTGGATGTTGTACAACAGGTCCAAAAAACGGTCTCATCCCTCCGATCCGTGAGTAAAAACCCTGTGTTTTCTCTCCGTTGGGGGACTCTGGAGATTACTTTTATCAGAAACACTTGGACTTCTGCATTTAGGGATGAGATTTAGTCTGATGATGACAGGACCGTTTTTATAACTCCTCTGAATGGAGGGGTTCGGGTTGCAAACTGTAACTTGTA